ATGCAAATATAAACAACCAGTGAAAATTTCATGTATATACGTTCATTTGTTTTGAGTTACACCAATAACCAAAATCGATTTTTTGGAAAATCAATTTTGCGTAAAAATTCCCGTTTTTCCTTAATTTTTATGTTGTTTTTCCCGGCGCTTGTGAAAACTACTGGGAAATTTAAATTTTGACCTCCCCAATGCACCAACGATATTCACTTTCCAATCGAACAAGATACTGAAGTCGAAAATCGAAGCATTATTTCGACTACTTATCGTGTACACAGACACAAAAAAAATAAAAAAATAAAAAAACACACATCATTGTAAAATCAATACATTCATCGTTTCACTCAGAATCTAAAAAAAACACACATCATTGTAAAATCAATACATTCATCGTTTCACTCAGAATCTAAAATTTTATTGATATTTATAAAAAATAAAAGTGGATGTCGCTCTACTGTACAGTAGGTTACAAGTAGGTCACTGTATAATGGATGGTATTAAATTTGAATTCAATGATACAATATCATTGTATAAGAAAAACGATTCTGAGCGAAGACGGTATGTCAGTCTAGGTTTGAGACATATTATATACATATCTATGGTATTAAAAAAAAATTGACCTATAATAAATTCCAAATTAATCATATCACAATATCCACTAGGTACTTATAACACGTTATACATCAATAACAAACCCTGATACTATCATTGATATATAATATAGTGTACTTTAGAAGTTTCAAGTACCCACGAATAGTATTATACACTCACAACAAAATGACTAAAATAGGTATGCTAGGTTTTTTAATATGTAATTTCGTCCCAAATTTGAACTTAAAATGTCTGTAAAAAATAACTGTGCTCATATATTTTTTAGATTTTTTGGCTACAGTATGAACTATTTATGAGAATCTTTTTAATAAATTTGCAATCCTTAGCTATAAAAACTGAACATTTTATAATTTATTAATTACGATGGTTGATAATTTTCGAGATTTTGATAAATTTTGTCAAAATTCGATCTTTAAATGCTTATAAAAAAAAATTGTGCCTATGTATTTTTAATATTTTTCAATTGCTATTGTAACAATATATCAGGAGCCTTGTATTAATTTTTCACACTTTTGGCCAACAGATAAAACTTTATTAATATTTATAGAAAAAAAAAACTAAAAAAATTGAAAACTGAAAATGTCCGTAAACGGCTCAAAAAGAGTCAAAATATTTTCAAAATTGTATGGTGTATAGGAAATGCTAATATAAACATTCAATGAAATTTTCATGTATATACAGTAATTCGTTTTTGAATTACAACAAAATAAGGAAATCGCCACATGCGAAATCGAGTGAATATCCAATGTTGTAAAAATTTGAATTTCAAACGCTCATAAAAATTTAATTTGACTTTCTTATAGAATTTTTTTTTTTGATAAATGTAGGAAATCTTATAAGGAATCTTGTATTACATTTTTATATCTTAGATTTAAAAAAAAAATTTTTATGAATTTCTAACTCGAAATAATTTGCAAATTTTCGTAATTTTTCCATATTTTGTCATTTTTTGAACTTTAAATGCTTGAAAAAAAAAACTGTGACTAACGATTTTTAATATTTTTCATCTGTCTTTGAAACAATATAGTAGGAGCCTTGTATTAAATTTTCAAGTATTTTTACTCAACAAATAAATTTTTATTGATATTCATAAAAAAAAAACTAATAAAGTTGGAAACTGAAAATGTCCCTAAACAGTTCAAAATAAATCAAAATATTTTGAAAATGTTATCGTGTATAGAAAATGCAAATATAAACAACCACTAAAAATTTCATGTATCTACGGTTATTTGTTTTAAAGTTACACCAAAAACCAAAATCGATTTTTTGGAAAACCGATTTTGCGTAAAAATTCCCGTTTTTCCTTAATTTTTATGTTGTTTTTCCCGGCGCTCTTGAAAATTACTGAGAAATTTAAATTTTGACCTCCTCAATGCACCAACGATATTCACTTTCCAATCGAACAAGATACTGAAGTCGAAAATCGAAGCATTATTTCGACTACTTATCGTGTACACAGACACAAAAAAAAAAATTAAAAAATTAAAAATTAAAAATAAAAAAAAAAACACACATCATTGTAAAATCAATACATTCATCGTTTCACTCAGAATCTAAAAAACTAAAAAAAATTTAAAACTGAAAATGTCCGTAAACAGCTCAAAAAGAGTCAAAATATTTTCAAAATTATATGATTTATAGGATATGTTAATATAAACATGAAATGTTCAAGTATCTACAGTCATTCGTTTTTTAATTACAACAAAATTAGAAAATCGTTACTTGAGAAATCGAGTGAATATCAAATGTTGTAAAAATATAAATTTCAAACGCTCATAAAAATGTAATTTAAGTTTCTTGTAGACATTTTTTTTTTGATAAATTTAGAAAAACTTATGAGGAATCTTGTATTACATTTTCATAACTTAGATTTAAAAATAAAAATTTTTATGAATTTCTAACTCGAAATAATTTGCAAATTTTCGTAATTTTTACGTATTTTGTCATTATTTTAACTTGAAATGCCCATAACAAAAAACTGTGACTAAGAATCTTTAATATTTTTCATCTGTCTTTGAAAAAATATATTATTAGCCTTGTAATAAATGTTTAAGCTTTTGTACCCAACAAATAACATTTTATTATATTTATAGAAAAAAAAACTAAAAATGTCCGTAAAGAGCTCAAAATAACTCAAAATATTTGGAAAATTTTATCATGTATAGAAAATGGAAATATAAACAACCAGTGAAATTTGCATACGTTCATTTGTTTTAGAGTAATACCAAAAAACATAATCGATTTTGTGTAAAATCAATTTAGACTAAAAATTCCCGTTTTTAATTAATTTTTCTTTTGTTTTTCACAGCGCTTTTGAAATCTACTGAAAAATTTTACTTTTTACCCCCCCAAAGTACCAACTAGATTCACTTTCCCATCAGAAAAGATACTATTGAAGAAAATCCAAGCATGTTTACTGTCCTAAAAGGTGATGACAGACAAAAAAAAAAATAAAAAAACACACATCATTGTAAAATCAATACATTCATCGTTCCACTCAGAATCTAAAATGTAGAATATTTATGAAATAAAAATATTTACACCATTTATTTATCATTTATATTATTCAGAATCATTATACAAATAATATTTATAGTTGTTTACAATGATAACCATACCAGTATTATAATAGGTACCTATGTATGTCGTGTGTCAACGACTATTCAGGTGCACCTATTCTTTGCCTTCAACGATTTCTGAAAATCATATTTTCATCTATTGACATTTTGCATTCTAAATACATATAAATTAACTTACAAAAGCGATATGGTTTTCAGAAAAATTACTTCAAAATTATCATTTACACGTTTATGCATATAATACAATTATGTGGTCGTTCGCCGTCAATATGTTGTAGATTCCGTATAAAAAAAATGCATGAGAAATAATATTGTATTGTGAAAAATATCTATGAAAAGTTTTTATTTTATAAAAATCTTGTATACACAGTATAATATTATAATATACAAAAAAGTCTGACAAATTAATAAGTAAGTTTAATTTTTTTTTTTTTTGTATTATCATTTTTATATATTATTATCAAATAATTTTAAATTAAAAACAAGTTTTGGCCTATATTTTAAGATTGAATTACAAAAATACGTTATGCCCATTGCATTGTATTTATTATATTCGTTAATGTAAATTGTCACTAAGTTTGAATTGGAATTGAGTAAGCCGCAATATTGTTGTACTTATCAAATATATAGGTAGAAGCAGATTGTGAGCTGTTCGCATAGACCTATAAACTATTTTATAGATCTATCGCTTATGATGATTGTACGATTTCATGTGCAGTTAGACAACCGTTAACCATAAATGATAAAAGAGTAATCAACAAGTCAGAAAACGATATTGAATACTGTACCTATACTATACGTATTAATGTATTTTAATCGTACACTCTTATTGCAGTATAATACAAGTAATAAGTACATATAGTGTGCGATTAGTAAAATGTGTCGATGATTGATTGTCCCGGGGCATGGTGTGTCTTTACAAAATGTTCAATTCAAACAAGACGGTGGAAGAGCGGACCGCTATATGGCTTTTGCGCTCATTCCACCACCCTCGGGGTTCTATATACGGACACCGGCGGGACTTAAATCTTATTATTATAAACATTAATTCATATAATTATGATACTTATTGTCAATATGCAGTATGTACCCCTCCAGATATCGGTCGAAAATATTTAGTAATATGAATAAAATTACGATACCTATTATATTAGGACCATCTATTTTTACTGTCACGCGTTATATATTTTATATCCCTATAACTCGTATAATATTTATTAACAATAATAATAATATTTATTATTATCGCTAAGACCATAACTAGCTTTTGCAAGGTCGACCGTCACCGCGGTCCACTTCTCGTACCTGTCGCCAGATGGCATTTACGCCTTTTCTCTTTCCGCGGAGTGATTCAACGACGGCGGCGGCGCGACGGGCTGTATACGTAACTACGCACCGCTCTACCCCTTTGAATGGGACACAGCGCGCGGCACGAGCTCAACAGTCGTTTCGCGCCCGACGTGCCGACCACACGCGCTCGCCGACCGAGGTTTCCGTCGCACCGGAACCGAACGGATATCGCGCAACACACACGGAACCGAACGTCCGATTCGATATCGTCGTTTCCGTTTTTCCGATCTAGACGTGGCTGATTCTCGCGGCGTTTCCGGCTTCCGATAGCACCCGATAAGTTAGCCAGGAATATTGTTATTTTCAGGAAAAAAAATTAATTGCGGATCGTCCCGCCGTCGCCGCTACCGCTTCTCGGGTAGACGACGTCCGTCACGGTCGTCCGTAGGTTTATGATCTGCCGAGTGTGGTGATAGGAACTGATCGTGAGAGAGATAAGCGAGGCCACGACGAGCGTCGACGATGCGTACTGCCGCGCTGACAGCGGTCGCGGTGTTGGCCTGCTGCCGGCCACCGCTACCCGCCGTCCGGGCCGCGTGCCTGCACACGGCCAGGGACCTGCAGGCCCAGGCCCGCGCGTCTGAGGTGGTGGTCAAGGCGCTGGCCATGCGAGTGTGGCCGGAACCCGATGGGCTGGTGGGCGGCCACTTTGCCGTCATGGCCGTCTACAAGGGCGCCCGGGCCGTGAAAACCGTGTTGCACGTCGGCGGCACTGACTTGTTCAACATGCACGACAAGTGAGCAATATTTTGTTTCACATCTCACAACAATATAATTTTAACAATTTTATTGAAAGTTATATAACAAATTCGTGTTCGGATTTTGATGTAAATAGTGCAATAATCTTTTGTAATTTTAAAAAAGTTTAATAACACGTATGTACAAGTTAAATGTAAGTAAAAATATTTTAAACAAACATCAGATTAATTCTTTTGAAATATTTTTTTTATAAATGTTCTACCTATCTTACGACAAAATTAAATAATAAAATTAAAATCTAAATGAAAAGAACAAAAATACGGTAATATCAATGATCGTGATAAAGACAAATTATTCATGATTGAAATTATGGAATTGGTTACATTTCAGTATAGGACGTCATATCAATGTCGATCATCAATAATTTGTCTTGATCACGATTAGTGATATCACCGTATTTTTGTTCGTTTCATTTAGATTTTAATTTTATTATTTAAGCACGTCTTGTACTGAAATGTAACCAATTCTATAATTGTCAGATAATAACTGTAAATGTGTACTTTCGTATTTTACTATAGTAGTGGCAAAGACAACGCACTTTTATAATATTTAAAACGTGTGTGAATCAGTGTCAATGTTTTTTTTTTTTTTATGAAAAAACGCCTAAAGCCAAACGCAGTTCTACATTAATAAAAAGTCAGTATAAGAGTTAAGAGAAGAGTGTTTTTCAACTGATGGGACCGTTTTGTTTTTTAAATTATGTAAAGGTGAGTGAAAAAAAATACAAAGTACACCAGCATATTATAGGGGGAGAAAACCCATATACAAGCTGTGAGAAAATTTGCTAGGTATCGCTTTTTTCAGAAACTGTTATATGCTTTTTTTGTTATTTATTTTGCTTGAAAATACGTACCCTCATAATAATATTATTACAGGTCTTCTATTTCTGTAAGGATACACCTATTGTACACCTATTTTATTATTATCCGTATAGGCTATAAATTGTATAAAATGAAACTGGAATTTTTATGATAAAGCAAGGTCGATTGGTGTAAAATTAGTAATTACCACTCTGAAAATAACATAACTTTCAATATAATCCACGATATATTATCAAACAAAGGATATCATATACAGTACCTATTACGTAATATTACTCCTGATTTTTTTTTCTAAACGCCTAATATACGAATTATTGATTTTTTACAATTATAGACAATAATTTTTTACAAATAATTAATGCCACCATTTCACATGTTTTTGTGAAATTTAATACATTATGATTGTCGGACGCATTATTTATTAGTTTTACCCCTATAAAATGTGACACTGGACGGTTTAGAGGGAACAAACTATACGTGTACGTACTCTCTATTTTTTTTTTTCAGCTGCATCACAAAGTGTAATAATGTGATATTATAAATTGAAACATGCACTACGAACGTTATTCTCCTGTATTGAGAACTAATTCTAGTAATTATAATATAGTCTGTAGTAGGTGTAACTTACTCGAGTGTGTGAAAGGTTCATGTTCAGCAAACTCGTATTGTGTATAATATAACGATATTTACTATTTATGACCCTATCGACCTAAATTACGAGCCCATATACTAATGTTGTGTGTACGCGAATTAAAATATATCGGTATCCAAGTATTCTATTAATTTAGTTATTTATTAACTTTCTTGGTTATGGTTATGTAATAACCGATAGTAGGGTATGTACTTATATTATAATAACAAAAATTACAAATTACAAATTATAAACAAAGTTAGTAGCAACGATAGTATTGAATGACTGGTATTTTTGAAACGAAAATCACCAATTTTCGGGATATTATGACTATTAATATTCACTTTTACCATACTTGTATAATATTGACTAATCAGAAGTTAACCATATTATTATTTCTGAGTTTTTTTTTTCCATGAACTCTTAATATATTCCTTTTCAAATTTTAAAAAATCCTTACATATACATTCAAAAAATTTAAAATAATTCATGATTATTTTGATACATTTTCCGCAATCAAAAAAATTACGCAACCTAAAATTTAAGCATTAAGCTGACATATTTAATATTCATTGAAATGATATATTATTAAAAATTATCGAAGTATTTATTTTAAGTCCAATTAATTTATCATATTAATATGATGATTTATTTTTTGAAATTGCCTTAAATTATATGATGGAATACCTATGATTTTGGCTTTAGTCAGAATAAAAAATAACCTAAATTGGTACCTACTTGAAACCTAAAGTATACAAAAAAAATTATCTTTTCATATTTTATTAGTAAATAGTTATGTAAATACAGAACATTTATAAATCAATTATAAATGCTACTCTTTTAGTACTAAGGTAGTGTAGTGATTATTGCACAATTACACAATAATCACTTTAAATTGTAGTCACACCTTAACATTACTCTAAATTATGATTTTATATAATATAAACAAATTAAACTAGTATACAACTATATTGTGATTTTTTGTTTACAATGGTAGCCACACAAAAGTTTGTTCATAATTTAAATTATTTTCAACATAGAAGTTTTCAATGTATTATCTACGAATGTATGACATAATAATAATGATATACACTAACAAATTTAATTTTATTATTAACTATGTATATTATGTACTTTCTTAATTAATGTTTTTCAACCTTACATTAGGGACGGATTGTATTGAAAAGTTTGATAACGTAATTATGGTAATTCTGTTGAAGTAAAATTAGAGTCTTCTTTATTATTTTTTAAATAATTAGACTTGTAAACGGGATACCGATGTACTAATATTGAAAACCAAATAAAAATCAGGGAAATCATTCACCTGTATATAAGGTTTCGAGTGTAAGTAGAGTAACTCGTCATTGTGGAGGCCACTTTTATTATATTTGTTCATTTTGAATTCAATTATACATCATTGCTTAGTAAAGTATTAATAAATAATACTAAGGATCCCCTGGTATCTGTATTTATTTCTATTATGAATTATTATGCATTTTTAGGAAATATTATGTTATTTTATTATTATTATTTTTATTTTAGGTAGGTATATTAAGCTCATTATTTCCAAAAATATCATGTTTAACTGCATGCAATTAATATAAACCAATATGATATATATAGTATAGATGATCGTGGATAAATAGATTGAAATGAGTTACTACATTTTTAAATATGTTAAGTGTGGACATATTAGAATATAATAATATAGTATAATGAATAATTGCCATGTCCCTATAATTTATGTTTATGAACTACAACAAAATAACTAAAATTTATTGAGAAAAAATCGTTATTTTCTAAAAATTAAACTTCAAACGCTTAAAAAAATAATTACTTAAATGTATTTTTGGTATTTTTAAATTATGCAGGCGCTATAAGAATAACTTTTTTAATCTTATTCTATTATATTTTAAAGCTATTTGGCTGTTAAACAAAACTTGTATCAACAAAAACAAAAAAAAAATAATTATAAAACGTAGAGAATTTCAAATGTCTATAAAAAGCTAATAATCGTCCCAAATACTGAATACGTTGTGTATAAAAAATTTTAACATTTTTTTTATACGCAATTGAATAGTAAGTACAAACCTTGACTAAATTTATCTAATTGATAATATACAAATTACTTTATAGTTAAAAATGTATAAGATGTTCAACTTTTATAGCTGAGCATTAGTAGTAGGAAAGTGAATATAGTTGATGCTTATGGGAAATTCAAAATTTAAAATCGATTTTGATTTATGGTTTTACTCTTAAAAAAATTACTGTAGATACATGTAATTTTTACTGAATATTTATATTCGCAAATACTATGCACCTTACAATTTTCGAAATATTGTGACTCTTTTTTTAGCTAATTATTTATTTACAGGCACAAGGAAATGCTTGGTTAAAAATCATGTAATAGAGGCTGTAGTTAATGTAATAGAACGTTCCTCAAAAGTTGTTATTCTTGGAAATTATAAAAAAAATTTTATCGTAAATTCGCAATATTTTTTCATTAGAAATTCATTAAAACTATTTGGAGTTTAGAAATTTTTAAAAACATTTTATATTTATACAAGCTATAACTTTATATTGAGCTTTAAAAAGTTAATGTAAGATTCCCTTTAAGTTGTCCTACATTAAAAAAAAAAAACTCTAAATATTAAGTTAAATTAAATTTTTACGAGCGTTTGGAGTTTACATTTTTACATTAGATATTTACTCGATTTCTCTTGTAGCAATTGTATCACATTGGATATTCACCCTTTAATTAACAAATTTAATTTTGTTGTTATTCAGAAACTGATAATAGCAGATACTTGAAATTTGCACCAACTGTTTATTTTATCATTTACTATACTTCATTTTTTTGACTCGTTTTGGCTGTTTTGGACAATTTCAAATTTCAATTTTTTAGTTTTTTATTCAATAAATGTCAACAAAATTGTAATGGTTGGTACAAAAATCTTGAAAATGTAATACAAGGTTCCTAATATATTGTTATAACAGTAGCTGAAAAATATTAAAAATACATTGTCACGTTTTTTGTATAAGCATTTAAAGATCGCATTTTGACAAAATGTTGCTGGAATACAAATTCTGACTCGCAGCAGTACCTATATTATCAGGTAGGCAATCTACCTGCGGCAGATCTCGGACCTCGTGCTGCTTGTACGTAACTTTAAAATTTATTTCTAAAGTATCAAAGTTATAACAAGTATGTCACTGAACTCCTCCAAAACGGCTGGACTAATTGTGAATGCCGAGTTTGTTGACCAATATTTCCTCCTCGTCCACGAAAACGTGGCATTGTTTTATGTGCGTAACTTATATGTGAGTATAACACGCTCAATATTTACGCAATTGCAATACATATAATATCAAAACACAGCGTACAAAAAAATCAAATGCATTGACACGGCAACCAATAATTATTATTATAATAGTTTTAAAACCCATGGCGACCATTTATAAACAAAAATTTCCAAAGTTTGAGCATATCCCCTGGTTGGACCTAGGGGGATAATTTGTGAATCCA